GCTAATGATAGAATAAATAATATTTATAGTAATGTAGTTTTATAATAATCTTAGGTCAAAGTCATTGATGCAATGCTTTTAATATTGTATGTTGWTTATAAATGTATAATATAGTTATACCATCTTAAAGTGTAAATGCATGTATGAATATGTACGTGTGTTTGTTTAATCATATAGACTATATAGATTACAGTAATAAAAAAATAACTCKATGGTTATTTGGATTTTATGAATCTATATACTAATTTATGTGATATTGAAAATCATTTATAAAAAGCTAATTTCAGCCGTTCCAAAACTAAAAATATATGTTTACGTATTATATTATGTATATAAAGACAAGATTAATATGTTTTAATATATCTTAACTGATSGTATGCAGTATTAAGAGAATAAAAAATGTGAACAATTCGTTCGATTGAGAATAATTCGTAAGTTTTTTTTATATTTAAGAATATTTCATAGTTTAAGGAATATTTAGCTCAATTAGCATATGCTTTGAAATATTTTGGAAATTGTAAGAAAAATATTAATTTACTGCTAATTTTAATATTATTTAACTGTAATTTACATTTRAACTAATTCTAACTTATTAAACTATTATAGGTACCTATAATATAATATTATATTATAATAATGAATGATTAATCCTAAATCATAAATACGATAAACGAGCGCGTGATGAATGTTTTGTAGTTATTGTGTGTTCGTAACATACATAGGATAACCTTATACAATAAATACGATCTATCCCCTTGCGGCGGTGACCACCATATCAAAAACACCGGGCCGCAGCGGCGACGTCGTCCCACGSGCAAAAAAATTTCCTCCTCCCCCGCGTCATATTATTCGCTTACCCCTTTCACCGTACGCCCCCGCACTCACGCACACGCGCTGTCGACACACACGAGCTATACATTCGCATAAATAGTAGGCGGCGCGGGCACGTGATTGTCCAGCCGCCGGTCCATCCCGTACGCAGGATCCACACCCCCGCGCTGTACGGGTTATTATGGATAGAACGCGTGCCCCATTGTGCGCGGTTCGCATGCACACGCGAGTTGAAATTACAGACGGGATGATAAAAAAACGCACAACTCACGGGGGCCACCCGCACTACGTATATATATTATATAAGTATAATGAAATATAATAAGCGAATCCGACCTGCTTCGACTCTGCTGCTGCAGTCAAAGTGTTTTTTATTTCTATCATTGTCGCCACACGCTCGTCCACCTGASCCCGCGATTTGTTTTTGCTATTTCATCTTTACCCTTTTCACTGTGTTTGACTACGTGAAAGCTAGTTATCTACGTACAATTCGTGAATATTTTTATACACACATACGAGTATGTACATACACACAACATTAATATGTATGCACGACTCACTATAATATATAAGTATCTATACATATATACACATACACTCCCTATGTCACCGCCATTTCAATGATATCGATTGACGTACCTACATAAATATATAATCTAATAGACGCACCTCCTCCGCCTTAACATTACCACTGTGCGTGTACGTGACGCCGAATARGTTGTTATAATAGACCGGCCATCATGATGAATTAGTATTTTCTTGTTATTATTCGGCCAATCGTAAAATAATATTTTTATCACTAGAGATACTAAAATGATAAGTTCTGTCCACTATAGTCTAAAACCACTACAGTGGTTACCATCAATCGGTAATTACACGACGAGGCGTACCTATTATGAAGAAACTATGCGTTCGCATAAATAGCAAGTTAGACGCGGTTTGTGTGGCATGAGGTTTTATATCAACACAATTCGGGAATACAATATACATAGGGCGGGTTGCATAAAGAACAGTCTGTAAATTTGTTACCAGCCCTGTAATTTACTGGCTCTATAAGGTTTTTAATGATTGTGTAAACTATTCTCGGGTTGCATAAAGAAATATAAAATTATTAATAACCGTGGTTACCAAATAAATTAAACCATATTAAACCAAAAAATTGTGCGTAACCGCGTAGGTATATTAACTTAAAAATATTTTTTATTCTTTAATAATCGCAAAAACTAAAAAATATATAATATAAATTGAATATTGATAATCTTTGATAGTAAAACTTGTTTAACTTATCATAATAATAATATTATATTATTTTAACCGATCTGTAATTAGTTACAGAGCCCAAATCGGATCTGCAGTTTACAGGTCCGGTAGCCGATAATTTACAGAGCCGGTAACTTTACCGAGCGTTCAAGCAACACCTAATTTTATTTACAGATCCGTTAACGTACTTACAGATCTGTAAGTAGTTACAGGACGTTTATGCAACCCGCCCATAATAGTACAACGACCGTTCGTAATGTTATTAAGAAAATTAATACTAATGATGTTTAGAATGCAAGTTTCGTTGAATTATTTATACATTAAGTATCGTATTTCCACAGATATATTTGTTTGTCATTATTAAAACAAATTAATAATTATACAGAAAACCATTTTTATAGGAAATAGTCAAGTATATAATATGTATATTGTATTAAATATATAGTATATTTAGTAAGAATAAATAATATATAAACAAAGTTGAAATTATTTTACTTGCATTACTATACTATCTCGATTAATGGCGTTATGAATGGTTAAAATACAACTGGGAAAGAAAATTACAAAATGTACAAATTTAAGTTTACCCAAGTTAACAATACTCAACCATACAATACATGTAGTTCTTCTTGAATATAGTAGGATCGAATTAAATGATAATGAGTTAAATTAAAAATCTTTTACTCAATGGCATTATCAATTTATTTTATATATTAATTAGTCATAACCATTTTGGAGCAAATTGTATATCATTGTGAACATTATACAGGTGTGTGCAAGTTTGTTGTTTATTATTTTTTTAGATTCTTAAATGTATTATCACATTAAAATAATATAAATTAAATAAACATATCAAGACAAAGAATTAAAACATAAACTATGAAAAATAAAAAATGATCAGTATGGTAAATAATAATCATTAACGATTATAATTTTGAAAGATGTTTTTTAGCATTGGCAACTAAGGCCATTAGCATTTTTGTAGCGAGTAATGGCTGGTTAAATTTTGAGAAATAATAATCGTTATACATGAATCGATCGTGYATTTTGTATAAATAGTGCTACAACAGATTATAATRTCTATCTAATATGATATGACATTTTATGAGTTCTTTAAAGGATAATTAATTGTTTATATTCCATCCAGTGAAAAATATTTTTATTACAATACCCATCAGCGCAACTAGATAACAAGGGGGAGCTTAAGCTCCAGGTTTTTGTGACATAATGGGACCTAACTTTTTAAACAATTGTTTATGGTGCTAATTTTGACTCAGGAGGTGCTTAAGACCCAAAGCGGGATCTTAATTGAGCAAATGGAGTCACCTATRTGAAAATCAAGAATAATTGTTGATTGGTAAAATATTTTAATCATATTATATTATAGCAAGCAACAGGCTTGAACAAAACATGATTCTACTTTATGGACAAAAAGTCGTTAGTTTCGTGTCACAAGGAAGACATTAAACACCAAGATACAACCGAAAAAAATGAAAAACTGGATTTTTTATTAAAACGTGTATTATTCGACATGCGGTACAAGGACGAACGCCAACAACAACAATATACAGATGATATTTGTTTAGGAACAAACGGACAAAAAAATCAAAAATCAAAATTTGTTAAAAAACGATTTCTAAGAAAACATGCCAAGAATAAAAATACGCCCCACAAAATCGCGTAACAGCATGGGTGCAATACGAAGGTATGGAACTCTGCATTCCTTGAAATCCCCACAAAAAAAAAAATAGGTCACTGTATAAACCCACAGAAACGAGTTCTACCAACGACAGGGATACGCGAGTGCTTGTCGCGACAGCGACTCGAAGCGTCCAGCACACTTACGGTATCGAACGCAGGGCTAAGTTAGGTATATTAAAATGTTATAGTTTTCACGTATAACTCGAAATAGACGTAAATAAGGGCCATTAAAGAGAACGGTCGGGCGAAAGACTATATAATTTTATATTTTTTTACTGCCCACACTATTAAGTCGTGTGCATCATGTCGCATACACACGCGAACGTATAATATATAATGTATGCATAAAAAACTAAGAAAGTACAGCTGTAGCATTCTACTGCGTTTCATATATTACCCGCGTGTTATACATTATATATACCCGTTGCGAGTGCGTCAATTACGGTCGCGTTTCGAAATAGACTTCCGGTCATTGACCACTGCCGAAACGTGTATACCGCTCGCGAGTACGGTCAGAGCAGTACGCACGGGGAAACAGGTTGCCGGGAATCMTGCGATGCAGCACACCACGTGACAAAAATTTGCTAACACGCAATTTTTTTTATCTCTGACGATTTGTGGGATGTAGTGACCAAGAAGGGAGTTGTCGGACGCGCGAAATTTTAAGTAATCCACACCTGTCAGGACGTAGTTAATTGCAGGAGAAACGAAGTTAAGTCACGGCGCATTGAATTGTACGGGGTTCGTTGAATCTTACTCCCCGTGTTTTGTTTTCACCCCAATTTCATATACGATTATTTCCGAGGAGGAAAAAACTGGCGTGTTGCCGCCATGTTACGCGGGGTGACAAGAACCCTAACTGCGAGTAAAAACCTCATTCATTTGTCCATCACGAGCCACGCACACGCAGCGGCAGTCCCCCTCATCGACTACTGTTGTTGCCGCCGCCACAACGGCCGCCATTGGTCTCGCCGCGATAGCGTCATGCGTGATAACCGCGAAGCGATCCCCTCTGCGACGGCGACAAAATTATTTAAAAAATTAAAACCTTATACTCGTCCATTCGATGACGCGAGATTGTTTCCATAGTACATTAGAAATATACAGCGATCTGCCRCACAAAGCTCTCGCCAAGTTGTACAACATGCGAAAAAGGTAATCGAATCTACAATAGCAAAGGTTCAGATGTTTATAATATATTAGTTTACCTTTGAACGGCCGGTTGTCTAGGTTGGAATTGAGAACTCGGTTGACCAAACGCGTAACCGTTGTAATCTTGAGTGTTACCCTGGTTGGCCTGCTGTTGACTCTGGTCCATGTCGTTCGGGGTCATAACTACGCAGTGCACCGGGTTCGAACTAAATACACATTCAATGTTACACACAACACAGCCAACAGTAAATTATTATAATATGTTATTACATGTTCTACTAAAGCTACAACAGTAGTATATTTTCAGTTATCACACACAACCCGCAGTATGATATAGCATATATATATACCACTATATTAAAATATTATGGTGCATTATTATTTAGTGCACGTGTCGTAGCGGCAATCGTCAACGCCTCCTGTCAGATGAGTTTGCTCGCGATTTCAACAACCGAAGTCATAACGACAGACATAACACGAGTGTATGAGTGTTTAATTGGTATAGTAGAAGTGTGCAGCTGCAAACTTCTATACTGGATAGTATAAGACACTACGAAACAAACTATATTATAATATTATACACTCTGGAAGATCGATAATCGATTTTTACGACTCTTTCCGGCCTACTGACGGTACTTGTTGGTTAGGTAGGCATCGTATTAGCGGCCGCGGAAGAGGATTTTACCGCGAGCGTACTCCACGTATATCGATCCCCGTTCGAACGCGGCGACGACTAATATAAACGCCCGACCGCCCGCGCGCCTCGCCCTGCCACCGACACATTACACGCGTACGATAAACTCGGCACGCCGCACACGCAGCCGGTCGCCGTCGTCGTCACGCGTTTGCCCTTCTCCTCCAACGCGACGCGTCCTCTACACGCACGCACACGCGAGGAATGTGCGGCGACGACTCTCCTCTGTTGTAGCCGGTTACAGTGTGTGTGCGCGTGTGAGTGTGTGTGTGCATCGCGCATATTATTATAGTGCACGGCAAGAGGTGTACAAACCGCGCAGTATTATTATTATATATACACCATGGTGGTGTCATCCAATATGCACAAGACGTTTGAGACTGCGCGTAAAAATGAATAATATTTTTACCTTACACGAGAGTTATAATAATGATATAGTTTCGCGTACGCACGGCAGGTACGACGAGTCAGGGGAAGCGTTTTTGTTCCCCCTACCACCCTGACTTCACCTGCGAACGAAGCGCGCCGTTTCGTGATGGGGTGGAGACGATCGGAATGTCTCGGCGGCGTGAACGTCGTAAGCCACGTGTGGGAAATGTGACTTGTCGCGTGCGTAACGCGAAGGAAAACCGCCACCAAGGATAAATATTAAATACAATAATATTWTATCGAACTGGAGAATWGTGGACGACGACCAAAAATATATGTTTATTTTTTGTYATTTTTTTTTCTATACCCCCAAAAAATATGTTTAAAAAAAATGTTAACGKGCGACAATGGAACGTATTATTCTAATAATCTAGAACCAGACGGTTGCGTTAATGTATGAACATATTAYTAAGTATATAGCAACGTCGGCGGGTAAACGTTTTCGAATCGATCAAAAGCGTTTACGCCGTCGACGCCAGTGAGCAAACAAAATATTAATAATAAAAATAAAAAAAACTACGTACTGTTGGCCGTGTAATATTTATACACCTAGGTAGCAGTTTTACATACACACAATCGAAGACGACGTCGACTATGACAGCGCGAAATGAAAATTATTATTGAGCTTCGTTTTTATTATATACTATTTGGAGTATATATATATATACGTTTTTATTCCGAATACGGCGACGGAGTTTTAACGAGAGGAACTCGAAACACCGATTATAACAAAACGCGCACAATTTCACTTAAACTAACAACGAAAAAACTTATTTTCAAAATATAATATTAGGAAAAAATATATAATATGTATGAGTCCGCAGTTAGGATATTATATTATWATATAATTATATTAGGTACTACACTACTAATATTGTTGTTAATAATAAGTTACGTTATTATATTATCTGGTCGCGAACGAAAACAACAGCAGACGGTACACAATAAATGTAAAAAATGTTGTTTCTTTAAATAATTTATATTTCTATGAAAATATAATAAATAAATGTACTTTTAATTGTATGATGTGATGGATTTTGGTCGGAGCGCACGGCGCAAAAACAACGTTACGGACGGACGGGCCGCGGTAGACAGAGAGGGAAAGAAAAAAAATATATAAAACTCGTCCGAACGTATAATATATATATATAAAACGCAGTGTGGCCAACTACGGCGGTGAGTAGTCGGCCACCGCCGCCACCGCCGTCGACGTCGTATGATGCCCCGAACGTAAACGTGTTTTTTCCTTCCTCTCTTTCTTCCTCTGCATTTTTTCTCTGTTTCATTTATTTTTTACTATGAAACTCACGCCATTCATTATCGGCGTATACTTTGAACGGGATAACATCGGACCATTTCGGGCACGTCGTACAAACCGTGGCCCGATTGCTAGCGGTGCGGGGGTTCAATCGGCACAGATACAACATAATATACCTATAATAATTATGGTATATTACTCTCCTAACTATATCATTATAATTAATAAATACGTGTACGACGTGTATATATAATAATGTATTATATGAAATTTTTATATTTAATAGCCTAAAGATATGTACAAGAAGTGTAGTTGCTTTTTTTTTAGAGGGAAGAGGTTTTTAAAAAATTCGAAAATCATGTAAGATAAGTAATTTTTTTTTTTGTTACAGCGTTATACGCAATATGATATAACAATATAGTACGATATATTTATTCATTATAATATTATATCGGTGAACGTCACGGCAAAGCAATGGGTTTTGAGTATAGTATGTATTTTGTATTTGAAGAGCAAAACATTGCATTTAACTAGTTAAGAATTACTAGAGTTATACAACCGTCTATAAAACGGTGTTCCTCTACCGTGACATTTCTTTGACCTTCCATGCGCGCATTTGTTATTTATTTTTTATGACACTGGTTTCTCGCAAAACGCCGGCGACAACGCTTTCCCTTTGAACATTTCTCTCTGCGAGTCCGTTGCTCCTATTCTAAGATGATACGAAGAATAAACGAACGCGAATATACACGTATAAATAATAAATGTATATCCGAATGGGCTAATAGACCATAATTGCATATGTTTGTCGATAAAAATAATCGAATCGYCCCCGCCAGTCTCGTCCTTTACGAACAAAATATAAAATCCTAAGAGAGCGCTTGCGATTGAAGCTGCAGGGCGCCGCGACGGGAAGCATGCAGGGACGGGTTATATTTAGAAATTGCGAATGATACGATTTTTTTAACAGTAAATATTCACGATATTTCTAAGGATAGTCCCAAAGCTAGATTACCTGAACACTCCCTCCCTCAAAATAAAATAAAAAAAAATTCCCATTTATCAGGTCAGAAGACTTACAAAGCAAGACGATTAAATGTAGAATAATATATTATTATATGGTCTATAGAATGCGGTATTCTACACGGACACAATGAATACATTTCATGTACACCTACTATGATAAATGTACGAAAAWAMGAAATACCCTACCTATATTGTATACCGGTGTACAGGACAAGGGCAAACTAGTAACCTAACGTTTGATATACATAAAATATATGGTGACCAGGTGGGGAGGATGGTGATGGTGGTGTTTGTGCGCCGAKATAATAAATATTTCGTATATTTTGCAGGTCAGGATTTTCAAACTACCTGCAGGCTGCAGCAGAACGAGGCAAAAGACCTTGCGCCCGAATTACATCAACAGTAATATCGAGAATCAAACATCCCATCAAACCTTGCATTTAATATGTTCTTCCATATATTATACACTATAGACTATAGTACGGTATAGCCGTATAGGTACTATTACAATAAATTATTATAATAATTATTATATATATATATATRTGTGTGTGTGTGTGTGTGTGTGTGTATGTTGTTGTTAATATATATTTCAGAGGAAGTAGATTACATGCCGATAAATTCTCATTAAAACGTTGGAAACAAATGGGTCGAATTGAATCCAAATTTATAGCACATGGATAATGACCTCAATCGAAAAAGTATGAAAAAAATCCATACAATACAATGGCAATAGTGCGTTATATRTTATTACGCATCACTCGATTAGGTAATTAATAAACATTACTTTATACCTAATGTTCCGATAATACTATATATTGTAAATTACAGATGTGTATAATATTTAGGKGGGAAACAAATATCTGAAAGCGGCGTTCTGAGTCTAAATGTTATAAATTGAACAGGATTGCCATCTGTTTCCGGTGGAAAATTGTAAATGTTTAAAAGTATAGGTATACAAAACACAAAAATAATACTAATTTCATACGCAATTATTATAGTACTAAATTATTATGGCAATTAATCACCAAACATAAGAATTAAAAAGTACATTGTACAAAAAACACTTTTGTGAATATTACATCGATATAATATATACAGTATACATAACAGTGGCGTAGACATGATTTCTGAAAGGGGGGGGGGATCAAAAAAAAAAACGACAACTAAATGGGAGGTGAAAATTGGAAAATCCCCCAACCTCTCAGAATTTTTTTCTAAGATACCTTATTGTTTAATGTTTATGGTATTCATGTTTAGCATGATTATTTAAAGTCTAATAAAATTAATAAAAAATAAATTTTAAATATTTATAATGTTGGAAAATTCAAAATGTGTAAACATAACTTTATAGACATATGTCATACATATTATATATATATAATATACTGTATATTGTTGTCTCTATAAATAATAAGATATTAAGCTATAATAAAGCATAATCGTAGTCGTCAATCGTCATCGACCATTTTGACCAAATAAATATTACTGTTTACTTTGCTAATTTGCTATAAATAAACGAAAATAAAATTATAATGGTATTCAGACTATTCAGTAATCAGTATATTGAAAAAACTGTCAAAATTCAATASCTCGATAGATCACAATTCACATATTTCACAATATGAAAAAATATTGCATTATAGTGCATACTACATAATGTAAGCAAAAACAAAAAATAAAGCTAATGKGAGGGATYTGACCCCCACGTCCCMCCACTTGTCTACGCCACTGATGCATAATATACTAYGTCTATAATTGCAGCGCATTTGGAAAATATTCATAAAATGACAAAATTAATTCAACTATAAACACAATTATAAACAACATAGGTAAGATACTTAATATATATTTAGAGCGTATAGCAAACATYTTTGGGTATACATACGGAAATTACTAACTCAGATTTGAATTAYTTATCATTTCGGCAGCATTCAACTCTTTGAAAAAAATGATAATGTTCAATGTTGTATCGTATGCATATATATTTATGTAGATACTAGTGGGCTGACTACACGCGTGCGCGTACAAACACACACACACACATGTACAATGTACATACATTATACTGTAGTAAAGATGAGATGACACACGAGTCAAGTATTTTAATGAATATTCGTCATGTGTAGTTTATATATGTGTGCGTATCATATATATACAAATAATATATTCTCTTCTTGGGTCGTGTAAAAACGTCATATAAACATGTACCTACGTTGTATAAAAACGAGAATAGACACTTTAAACGTATCAGTTAATTCTAAGACATCGATACACGTTACATATTATATGTAGAGTTATTATTGTAGAGTAGACGCCGCTACCAGTTGGTATC